TTTTTTGAGACAGGGTCTCACTATATAGTTGAGACTGACCTGGAACTTACTATGTAGCCCAGGCTGGTCTGGAACTCACAGGGATCCTCCTGCCTCAGCCTCCCAAGTGCTGGGATTACAGGCGTGTGCCACCACGCCCAGCAAGATGGACTTTTTAATAAATGGCAATGGAGCAACCAGATAGCATTTTCTCTTTTAGTTTTAACTTTTTTATTTTTTATATTTTGGTACCGGGGATCGAATTTAGGACCTTGCACTTGCCAGGCAGGCATGATGTCACAGTTATATCCCCAGCCCCAAATAGCATTTTCTAAAATACTATTTCTTCTAAGAAAGCTCTTGAAGGCTCAATGGCATGTCCCAAAGTTACTTTTTTTCACCCACTGACCTCATCGAAGGTGATTTCGTCATACTGCCAGTTCTCAGTTTTGAAGAGCATGACCACTCGGCCGTACTTGTCCCGGCTGGAGAGGACACCAGGGTAGCCCGCCTCAATGGTGCAGCGGACGGCCTCGAGGGACACATTGCTGAAGAGCTCAGGATATTGCAGCCGGAAGTGCACATAGCCTGGAGGAGGGCGAGCCCAGAAGCCCCTTAAGAGAGCCACACCAGCCCTCGCCAGCCAGCCCCGGGGTGGCACCCAGTGGGGCCAGGACCTGGGCTCTTCTACACCTGTCCTGTGTATGATGGAGCAGGATGCTCAGCCTGTCTGAGCCCCATGCTTCCTCTCCAAAAGGGAGAAAAGTGTGGACCAACTGAGTGTGATCACACATACCTGTAATCCCAGTAGTTTGAGCCCAGCCTGGGCAATTTAGCAAGAACTTATCTCAAAATAAAAAATTCAAAAGAGCTGGGGATGTACTTGAGTATAAAGGCCCTGTGTAGTAGTATAAATAAATAAATAAATCAAACAAAATAATTGTTTTCCTTTGCACTGGGCCCTCCCTGGCTGCTTTACCTAAAACGTCAACCCCTTCCCTCCCTACTTTTTTTTTAAGACAAGGTCTCACTATGTAGCTCAGGCTGGCCTGGATCCTCCTGCCTCAGCCTCCCAAATGCCAGGTATGCGCAGGTATGCGCCACCACACCTGGTTCCTTTACTTTGTCCCTTATCACTAACATTCTACATGCTTTTATTTTATATTTATCTGGCTTATCATCTCCACCATTAGAATGCAAGTCCAGGAAGACAAGGAGGGGATTCTGGTCCGTGTTACTCTCCACCTCAACCCTAAAGCAGCAGCTGGCCCAGCATGACAGGAATGAACCTCTGAGAAAGGTAAAGCAGAGAAGCTCCTGCTCACCACCCTGCAGGTTCCAGAGCAAAGGGTGGGTCTGAGAATGGGGTTCTACTGCTTGAGCCCCAGGACTGAGAGAGGAGATTCCTCGGGGAATCAGGTGCTGACGGACTCACTCACTCAGTCATTGGAGGGCAGAGCAGAAAGGAAGCTTGAAGACGATCTGGCTCCCCCTCCCCACCACACACCCGCTTTGTGGGGAAGAATATGGAGGCTCTGAGTGACTTGCTCATGGCAGGAAGGAGGTCTTCTTAGCGCTAGGCCCAGGGTGGACCCTTCATGTCCTCCTCCCACCTGCCAGTGCGGGCCTCACCTTTGAGCAGATCGTAGGCGCGGCCCACGTTGAACTTGCGGGCCCGGATAAAGCGCAGGAAGAAGGCGCTGTCCCTTCCCTGCACCTTCTCTGCCACTGCCAGGGCCAGCTCCTCCCCAGAGGCCGCCTGTGTCTGCAGCAGCTCCTGCAGCTCCCGGACCGCGTCCTCCCGAGTCTCCTCCCTCTCATTCAGCTCATCCTTGGCCTGGAACAGGGTGGAGTGGGCATAGGGTTGGAGGTGGGTGCCGGTGAGAAGCAGGATGCATTTAAATAAAAATATATTATGAATCCCTCCCTCAAAATACTCCTCCCTGCTTCAAGCACTTCTCTCATCATTCTTGCTACTTTCTGAGGCAGCTCTGGAAGTTCTCTTTCCTGAGTGTCTTTCAATCCACTGTTGTGGCTGCCTCCGTGTCCTGAATTGATTCAGAACATTTACCTTTCTTTTTATTTATTTATTTTTTGGTACCAGGGAATCGAACTCAGGTCCTTGCGCTTACGAAGCAGGCAGTGGAACCACTGAGCTAAATCCCAGGCCTAGAATGTTTACCTTTCACGGTCATTTTGACTTTTGGGGAAAGCCAGAAGTCATTTAATGGCAGATCCGGTGAATATGGTGGATGAAAACACACCGTGATGTTTTTATAAGCCTGCTGTCCTTTGGATGACACTTCACAGCTGTATTCACCATATCTCTCTTCACCCTTTATAGGTGATGGGCTCCAACCAGAGTTGGCCCAGTGAGTGGGCACAGGGGCTGCTGCCGGGCCTCTTGTTCTCTAGCCCCAAAGGGCAGCATCTGTGCTGGCTATAGCCCGTATCTAACTGTAACTGTCCACACCTCTTGTGTCCTTAAAGCACCCCTGCTGAATCTTTTCAGTGCATTTCACACAGCCTATTATGGTTGACTTTCTCATCACTGTGTCTCAGATGAGCAGACCTAGGCTCCTAGAGGTGAAATATTCTTGCCCAAGGTCACCAGGATAGGAAGAGGTGGGGCTAGGACTCAAGTCGGAGCTTTTCCAAAGCAAAGGTCCCCAGCAGAGGGCAGCCCACCTCCTCCCAGAGAGCCTCAGCCGCTCCCTTGGCTGGGTCCAGAGCAGGCCCCCAATCCCTGGCCCTGCTCTCCTCAGGGGAAGGAGGGGGAAGGAAGGGTAGGGGAGTCGGGGTGAGGGTCCTACCAGCACTTCCCTTGAGATGCCCAGGGATGTGAGCCAGGAGCCCAGACTTGGCTCAGCCACTTCTCCCCCTCCCCCGCATCCCTAAGGCAGTTGGGCCAAGCTTCCCAGGACAGTCTGATCACCTCTGAACTAGTCCAGCAACCGGCTTTCATAGGTACAGAAGGCAAGACCCAGAGAGGCACAGCCATTTGCTCAAGCCACACAGCAAGCTGGAAGCAGGTCTAGTTCTAGAACTCCAGACTTTTGTCTGTCCAGTGGGGCCAGGGCTGTGTCCTTGTTCACTCCAGCTACTTCAAAATCACTGCTCTTCATAGCAGAGGCCAGGATGATCCCTAGTCCAGAGGCTTGAGGCTGTGGTCTTGGGCAAGGCAAGACCGGGTGCTGGTCAGCCCAGCTGCTACCATACCCCTGACCTCCCGGATGGCCCTAAATAGGCCAGGCCAGTGGTCCAGGATGAGCTAGACCATTTCTACAGCAATAAGAGTGCTGCTGGTATGTCCTTACCCACCCCTTCCATTCCTGCTGCCTCCCTAGACTACCTCTCCCTGAACCCCAGCCACCTCACCTTCTGCAAAGTATGGCGTGGCAGCTGGCTGCACAGGCCAAAGACAGGCCCATGGTCCTTGGTTGTGAGCTTCTCCAGCTGGGCCCGGAGCTCCTGCTCCTCTTCAGGGACCATTCGGAAAGTGCCCACCTGGACAGAGAGGAGTCAGGAAGAAGCAAAGCAGCCCCCAATCCCATAAGCCTGAACAAGCCAGGCAAATGGGACTGCTGAGACCTTAAACTAAAAGACGAGGGGAGCCATGGTACTCACCGCCTCTGACATATTGCCTCTGAAGACAAAGCCCTTGGAAAACAAGGGTCCTGCTTCCTTTGTTTTGGTCTCTGCAGCTGGTCTGGCCCTAGTGCAGGAAGTTAGAGCTGTGGGGGTGTTGGAGAAACCATTCTGAGATTGTCTCACAAGAATGGGCCTCAAATAGTCATTGTACCCAAATCCTCTGCGGGCATTTGTTAGAAATGCAGATTTGTGGGCCTAACCTCCCTTGACTCTGTCTGAAGGTCCCAGCTGGGCTCAAGAATCTGCAAGTCAGAAAATCTGACTGGCTCTGGAGGAGAGGATCTTGGGCCACACTGCTTTGAGAAGGGATATTGTACAAATGTCTCAGACCTTGCTGTGTAGACAGTTTGGCTCAGCCAAGAAAACACTAGAATTGGGCTCCATTTTCAGTGAGGGGATCACTGCAGGATAAGGCATATCTCCTCCCTTCTGTGGTCCACCTGCCCCAGCCTAAGGCTTCCCAGTGGGTTCCTTCTCTGTGATCCTAACCCTGGATGTATGTCCAGAGCTTTCTTTTTTGTTGTTATTTGTTTTGTTTTGTTTTTTGAGACAGGGTCTCACTATGTAGCTGAGACTGACCTGGAACTCACTATGTAGCCTAGGCTGGTCTCGAACTCACAGCGATCCTCCTGCCTCAGCCTCCCAAGTGCTGGGATTACAGGTGTGTGCTACCACACCAGGCTGTCCCATGCTTTTGAAGCTCTAAGTATTTTCCAATTCATTATCTCAGAGCTAGGCCTGGCATTATTGTTCCCGTTTTGCATAGGAGGAAGCAAACCCAGCAAATAAGTGACTTGAGGTAACACAACCCGAAATAGCCAGAAGTAAGGACTCAAGCCTAAACTACAGCTTCCTGTTGTAGTGCTAAAATTGGAATAACTCCATTCTAAGACAGAAAGCCATCTCATGTAAGATGTGACTCCTAGGTAAACTGCGTGAATTCGCTTAGCAAAAGATTAAGGCAAGGCCAGATGCCTGGAAAAGGGGAGCATAAAACTGCGGGAATTCAAATTCGCTTAGAAAAAAGTTTGGTACTGAGGACCCTATGATAGGGAAAACCTTAATAAGTGGAAATTTAGGAAATGTCACAATATAAGATAACTTCTGCCCCTCACCCTGCTTAGTTCAGAATTAACAGGTACCGGGAGACACCTAGTCTCCTCACAAAAGTCTGTAAATGAAAAGAACCATTGTTAGCTTTTTTAATCAAACAAGCTCCCTTCCCCCTGGCTAGAGTAGGCAAGTGAATGGAGAAAATAGCACCAATGAAAAAGAGAGGATTTCAAACCTCCCAAGACCTATAAATTTATGCTTTAGAAGGGGGTCAGGACTCTCGGTACCGAACCACTCCACCGGTGAGGTACTAGAGTCCAGGCTCGAGCTTGCAATAGACTCATGTGCATTTACATCGGACTCGACTCCTCGGTGGTCTTTGGGGACTTCGTGATCTGGGCACAACACTGTCAGCTCTAAGAGGCAGAGGCAGAACAGGAGAAGCACCTGGGTTCCAATTCTGTTTCTCCGGGTTGCAGGCAGTGTGATTTTACCTGTGTTTTGGTTGTCCCCTGTTGAAATGGAAAGGTTCTGAAATGTAACTAAAACACATCCATACAAAGCGGTGCTCAGCCAGCAGAACAAACCCCACCCATGGCCCACAGCCGGCCTTCTTCCCACTGGGTACTTTTGGAGGTAGTTCTTCTGTCTCCTTCCTAAACCCCCGCAGTGCCTCCTTCAAGGATCATTCACCATAACGCTCCTACCGCTGGTCAGGTTCCATTGGCGAGATTTGGACTAGAACTGGTTATTATTAGGGAATTGATCATGTTGAAGTATTTCGTGACGCTGCCATCACAGGCTGCATTTTCCTGGTGCTTCTTGGCTCTTAAAATGACCTCATGTTCTTATCTTTAGTTTCCCTCCCACCAAGGCCACAGCGAGACAGAAAAGTTAAAACTTGCTTCTGCAGGGCTGGACCCATAAAAGGCAACCTGGCCTGTGATAGGTTAAAAGTAGCTCACTCCTCATAAATAAGCAATAGCCCAGCCCAAAACTAACAAAAGGACCTTCCTCTCTTTGTTCTTGTCTCTCTCTCTTCTTTCTTCTGCTTCCCTTCTCCTTCTCTGCTCCCGCTCCCTGGTCGGACCTCTCCTCTCGGTGTGTGTGGCCCAGTTGTCGGGCGCCACTGTTCCCTTTCAGTTATTACTTAGGATTTTCTGGAAATGGAAATGCAAAGACTAACAGAATCGTCCCAGTAAACTCAGGTAAGGGGGAATTATTGGCATTTAAAAAAATACTTTATGTATGAGATGAAAACAATGCCTGCCCTGCCCTCTGTGTTCCTGCTGTTCTCTGCCATCTAGGGTTGCCAGATAAAACACGATAATATCAATATTTGGGGCATACTTAGACTGAAAAAGAATTGGTTGTTCACGTGAAATTTGTATTTTTTTTCAATACCGGGGATTGAACCCAGTACCTTCGCACTGAGCTATATCCCTAGTCTTTTTTAAAAATGTATTTTATTTTAAGACAGGGTCTCCCTAAGTTACCCAGGCTGGGCTCAAGTTTGTGACCTGCCTAGTTCATGATATTTGCATTTTACCAGGAATTCTGACTTGGTATTTGCTACGACTGCCATCTGATGGGATTCTCATACTGGAGAGTGGCACACAGGGGTTTAGTTGTACGGCAGCCTAGAAGTGGGCTCCCCTCTGCTCCCTGACTCCCCACTCCTGTCTGGGGGCCCCCTTACCTGCCAGGTCAGCAGCTCCTCCTTGGGGCTATCTGGTACCTGCACCAACCTGGAGCTCTGGTGGCAGCCTTGGCTGGGGGCATGTGCAGTCAGCAGGTTGGGATTAGTGTCACAAGGAACTTTTCATTGCCCACAGTTTCCCACTAGGTCAGGTTCCTGGGAGTCCCGGAATGGGTGAGTGCAGCACCCCCGGGGAGAGGGGAGAGGCCGGCCTGGCTGGAGAAGCTGTCAAAGCTCTCCTTTGTGAGCAGCAGAGCTTCTGCTTAGCCATGTGGAAGCCGGAATCTGGGCCATCCCTGTTCCCTGTCCTCTTGCTCCTCAAGCTCCTAGAGGCTCCCACTCAAGGCAAGAATTGAGGAGAGGTAAAGGGAAATTATAGGTATTATCCCAGGTGCAATGACAGTGCTGGTGAATCCAGGGCTGTGCTCTGTCCTTTCCCACACAGCCACAGCGAGTGGGGCCAGTTGGGAAACAGCCTGTTCTAGGTGGTGCGGTGCAGAGGTTGTGTGCGTTTGCATGTGTGTTTTGCTGTAGATCAATCATAGGGCTTCACACATGCTCAGCAAGTGCTCTGCCACTGAGCTGCACTCCTAGGTTCTGCCCACCTTTCAATCCCAGCTCCAGCATCTTCTGATGGAAAATTTGCTGCACCCCTAGATAACAACTATGTTTCCTCTTCTGAGATGTGGGGATTGTTAGAGGACCTGTGCTCAAGCGTTGTGCTACAGAGGATGAGATGGCAACAAAGTACTTAGTGCAAGCTTTTAGCTGCCTGGCATGTGAGCAGAATCAGGAGGCTCCTTGGTGGAGGGAACGTGATTATACAGCCCCCTGAACAGCAAGAAGGGCTTCTGCACCCCTCAGCAGGTGGTCCCCCCCTGCTTTGGTAATTGGAGGAGGCAATGGATAGATCTCCCGCAGTGCCATTCTTGGTCCTGGTTAGTCTCCAAGAAGTGCCCAGGGCAAGGTCAGGCTCCTGTGCACAGGGCATTCTCTGGAACCAAGTCCAGAAATGTTTTCTGATTTTTCCCCAGAGTGTTTTTGATGGTTTTTTTGTTGTTGTTTTGTGATGCAGGGGATGGAATCTAGGGCCTCATGCATCTTAAGCAAGTGCTTTACCGCCAAGCTACATGCCAATCTCCAATTTCCCCAGACATGGTTCTCACTTTTCTACTTGAACCCACATCGACAGGTGTGTGATCTTTGCAGACACTGTGGGGCTATACGACTGTCCTGAAGGAACCACCTGGAACCAACCCTCCCCTCACCTGCCTCCCTGAGCCCCTTGCACTATAGCAGGCTGCAATGCCTGGTGCTTAGATCTTGGGTTGCACCCGAGTCACTTGGAGCTCTTTGCCTCCAACACTTTCTCCCTGGGCTCCTGCTTTGGCTGCTGTCTGGCTCTTGGGTTGATACCTTACCACATTCTCTCTGGAGCTGGGGATCCCTAACTTCTACCATCCTGATTCCTAGTAGTCTATTCCTGTGCTGTAATTTATACAGTAGCCATTAGCCACACATAGCTTTTCAACCATATCTGGAAATGGGCTAATATGACCCAAGAACTAAAATGTTTGGTTGACTAATAGACTGAATTACTGAGGATTGAACCTGGGGCCTTTAGATGGAGCTACATCCCCAGACGTTTTATTTTGTGACAAGGCTTGCTAAGTTGTTAAATTGCACAGGCTGTGCTCAAACTTGTGCTCTTCCTGCCTCAACCTTCCAGAATGCTGTAATTACAGGTGTAGGCCACCACACCCAGCTGAAGAACTAAAATTTTGCTTGTTTTAATTAAGAGATTTTATATATTTAGTTAGTTAGCTAGTTGTTTTGTTTTTGTTTTTGTGTTGTATTAGGGATTAGAACTTGGGACCTTGCACTTGTGAGGCACATAGTGGCACCACTGAGCTAAATCCCCAGCCAAGTTAGCTAGTTTGTTTTTTTAGACAGAACCTTGCTATATAGTTCAGCTGGCCTTGAACTCACTGGGTAGTCCAGGCTGGCCTTGAATTTGTAGATATTCTCTTGCCTCAGTCTGCTGAGTGCTGGGATTACGGGTGTGCACCACCGTGCCTGGCTTTTTTACTTAATTTTTAAGTAATTTAAATTTAAAAACTGATAGGAGGTCCATTTTGGAGAAAACTTTTTAAGTAACTAAGACACATAGTTTTGTTTTTCAAATGTAAATTTTGTGATGAATTTCTCATAAAAATTTACAGTCCAACATGAGATGTGCCCTACATATAAGATACCCATTAGAGTTTTGTTTTATTATGACACAGGATCTCGTTATGTAGTTCAGGCTGGCCCTGAACTTACTGTGAGGCACATGGTGCCCCCAAAATCCCAGTAATCCTCTTGCTTCAGCCTCTTGAGTTATAGGACCTCCAGGATTACAGATGTGCTCCACCAGGTCCGGCGGATATTTGAAGACTTAGTACAAAGAACAGAGTGTAAAATACCTCACTAACAATTTTTTTGTATTGCTGGGGGCAGAACCTTGGCCTTGCATATTCTAGGCAAATGTTCTACTGCTGAGTAGACCCCTTGTCTCTAACAATTTTGTATGGCTTAAAATTTTCAAGTACTCATGGTTTGGACTACTGGGTTAAAAATATATTGTAATTACTTTTACTTGTCAAAGTTTTTTTTTTTGGTACCGGGGATTGAAGTCTGGTCTTTGAGCTTGCAAGGCAGGCCACCAAACCACTGAGCTAAATCCCCAGCCCCTACTTGTCAAAGTTTTTAAAAACTTTAATTACATGTATCCCTCAAATTATAATTCTCATGGGTGGTACTGGTTTGAACCCACTTACTCTAAAAGTGTGACCCAGTGACCAGCAGGGACCACAGCATGAGGGGAAGCTGATTAAAAATGTAGTCTTGGGCCCAGTTAAGTCACATCAGAATCTGGACCAGAGTCGAGTCTGTCCTAATGCTCTCATTTCAATTGTTTAAAACTATTTAATTTTAATGAGATCACTGTTGATATACAATTGGGAAAAGCATTGGTCAAGAGACTCATGGGAGGTGGTGGGTGTGGGAGCCCAGGCCCAGAAGGCCCCTGAAGGAGGGACCCGCAGCTACCCCAGAGAGGCTCTGTGGATGCCAGGTGATGGGTTCCATCTCGAACATTCCTGTACGATAGGAACACCCTCAAGCCAACAGCCTGGCCCTGGCAAAATTGGGCTGGGGGAAGAGCTTTCTTAGCCCTGATCTTTGCTTACAGCCCTTCTCCCATGTCAAGAGTCTTGGAACAACAAGGGGAAGGGAAGGGGACTCACCTTGCCCTGCCAGTTCTGTTGGCTGTCACCTCACCAGCATTATCTCACCTTAGTCTTCCAGGTGTGAGTAGAGTGAAATTGTTGGGAGAAAGTGAGACAGCTCAAGGTTACAGCCAAGGGTTACAGCTCTGTGTCACAGCTCCAGCCGTTTGGAGACAGAAGAATCCAAAAGCCACTTGAACAGATGGAGAAAAACCTTTTATTAGCCAGCTGGCCCACAGGAGTTTTAAGCACTCCAAATTCTGAGCCCTGAATTGTAAGTGGGGTAAGTTTATATACAGTTGGGGAAAGGAAATCGAGAAGACCCTTTAAGGGCAGAGACAGAAGTGGGAGCCTCTCCCTGCCACAGAACATTCTTGAAACCTTAGGGGCAGCCTATACAAACAGTCACATTATTTGAACAGAACGCTTTTGATACATTTGGGCAGGTAACTGTGGAACACAAACAATTAGAGAACATTTTGATACATTGGGCAGGAACATTTTGAGACACTGGGCAGAAACATTTTGAGACATTGGGCAGGAGCATCCTAAAGTACAAAGGGTTACATTTCTGGCAAAAACACGGGGGAGGGGAGGGTAAAGGCAACCGCTTGACCTGTTGTGTATTATTGCTTTATCAGAATTACTTTCTCATAGAACATGTCGGTTAGGAATGAGTCGGCAGGACTAACTCAAATGTCTCCCACTGAATAAGGGCTGATATGACCCCCTGTGGAATGTTGCAACCCTCCTACTTCTGACCACTCCCTAGCTCAGCTCCCTGCTTCACTTGTCTCCATACCCAAACTGTCATCCAGTGTCCACCCCCAACCTTGGCAAAGGGCCAGGCAACAAATATTTTATTCTTCTTGGGCCAGAGGGTGCTATGTCCAACTATTCCAAAGAGGAATAATGAAAATTTTATTTGTGGACCCTGAAATGTGAATCTTACATAATTTTCTCACTTCACAAAATGTTATGTTTGTGTGTGCGTGTCATCCACCCATTTAAAAGTGAATGAATAAATGACTCGGTTTATCGGAGCTCAGATGGAAGAGTTACTCCAAGCAGATCGGTGTGGCTTGTGGAAACTGTCCATTTAAAAATGGGCAAACCAAGCTGGGAGTGGTGGCACACATCTGTAACCCTAGCACTCTGGGAGGCTGAGGCAGGATTGCAAGTTAGTCTCACCTGAGCAACTTGGACAAACTATGTCTCAAAATAAAAAACAGGGTGGGAATGTAGTTTAGTGTAAAGGCGCTGAGTTCAATCCCCAGTACTACCAAAAAGGAAAAAACAAAATGGAGGCTGGGGATTTGGCTTAGTGGTTCCACCGCCTGCCACACAAGCGCAAGGTCCCGAGTTCATTCCCGGTACCAAAAAACACAAAAATTTATAT